TATCTACAGTTTTAAAGGTATCTTTGGATACAGGCTGATGATAAGCCAGACCCTGGTTGGGTGGAGTGAGGTTGAGAAAGTTATTTGAGTTATTAATGAACCTCTGTGTGAGTCGTAAGGAGATGAAGCTCCTCTGCCAATGAGCTAGGTCACTTACCTTGAACTTTGCTCTCAGTAGAATTGGTAAATGGAGTTAGGTCATTGCCAGGCAACCTGCATTGTTTAGGCTGTTGTTAGATGACAGGCCCAAGAAACAGATTGAATCTCCATTTTCCAGCTCTGTGAATATTCACAGAAGAGTGGGACTGTAAGGTCATTTCTACTCTAACTGCCTAAGATGTTTTTATTTTATAACCGAAATAAAAATAGTGACTGTTGTTTTCCCTTTCCTCCCAGAGGAGGATAACCTGAGTGAGTCCTCTTCTGAGAGCTTTCTTTGGAGTGATGAAGAGTGTGGCCAAGATGTTGATGTGACCACCAACCCAGATGAGGAACTCGATGGGGATGACCGTTACGATTTTGAGGTGGTCCGCTGCATCTGTGAGGTCCAGGAGGAAAATGACTTCATGATTCAGGTAGGCAGAGCTGCTAGGAGACAGGGCTAGAGAAGCATGAAACTGGTATTTGGTGGGAATTTTGAGGGACTACCATATTTGTACACAAATGGCATGCACATTATTTGCATAAAACCATGGTATAGTTTGAAGCTACCAGAAATGTCAAATGAGTGGCCCCAGATAAGCAGTGTTATTGGCAGCAGACTGAGCTTTGCTTCTTGGTTCAGCTTCTTTGAATTCTAGGTTAGTATAAATAGTCCTTTAATAGAATATGAGGAGATGGGAGGGGCCATTGAGTCTAAACCTCTCATACTCTGCTTGAGGCAGCTGGGGCTCATAACTGGAAAGGGCCTTACCTATGGTCACACAGTGAGGAGTGGGACAGCTGGAGCTATATCTCTAGAATGGAAGTTAAATCTTCTTCCTATGGATCGAAACCTTTTCTTTGAGATAAAGTTTCTTATGGCCTAAAGCAATGGAGGCTGATTTTATCTTGTAGGTGCTTCTTGTTCTTTATTTTCCTGACATTTGTATCTATCATATCCATCTCTGGACTGTGCTTGTAGGGTGTACCCTCCTTGCCTGCTTGGGGAGATCATCCCGGCCAACACCTGCTTTTTTCTGGCCCTTCTTTTTCTGTTAATTACAGTTCTGCAGGAGGTGGCTGCTGGCTGGCTGATTCTGGGTGTCTTGGCAGCTGCCTGGCCTAGCCTAGTCGAGGGAACTTGATTTTTAAAATTAAGCTATGCAGGTATTGATTTGGGTGAAGGGAAGGGCAATGTACCAAAAGTGAGTGATCAACACAATGGCATTAAGGAAGAGGAAGACACAGAGAGGTGCACAAGAGGTACAGACAACAAAGATAAACCCTTTTACATACACAGTACTGCTTTATCTGTGATAACAAACATTAGTCTGTGGGTAGACAGATGGGTAGGGTAGACAGGCTCACTGATCAGGTATGTTTAGGCAAAAGAGGAATACACCCATGATCATATATAAGGTTGGCAAACAATATTTCTGCATAAGTATTTGTTTGTGCTATAAGAATGTCCAGATATATAATACAGCTAACAAGGGGCAAAGTCATGATAACTACTTGGCCATAGCCAACCACCTGAGGGAGCAAGGGGCTCAGGACCACGGTCGCAGGAACCTCAAGGTCAATTTGCATAAAATATTACGCAAAAACAATGTTCTACATCATACTTTGGTGAGTAGTGACTGGGGTCTTAAAAGCTTGCAAGCAGCCATCTAGATACTAGAGAACGATGGGTTGCATCTTGTTCAGAGCAAAGAATAATGAAGAAAACCAAAGATACATGAAAACAATTAGTCCAAGGAACTGGTGGACCATGCTGTCCTCAGCCTTTGTGACAGTAACACCAGAAGAATTAGATGGTGCCCAGCTACCGTAGTCAACCACTCAGAAAAGATCAGTGCAGGAGATCCTGGGTAGAGTGGAAGAAAAATGTGGAAGAAAACTCCAAATTACAGAAAAAGAACCAGTTCACTGGTCTGATAGAGCCTGGTGAGACCACTGAGACTATGGCTCCTAGTTACCTTCAGGTTTGGAACTGAACTCACTCCTGTGGCTTCCAGCCAAACAATATACAGGCATAAAGGATGAACATTTACATCAAATAGATAAACTCCTTAGAGGTCGGGAGAACAGAAGGGTAGTGTTTGCACAGAGAGATAGCGGGGGCGGGGGGCAGAAATGCATAGAAAGAAGGACATAGGGAATAGTACCTACGGGGAGGAAGTGGGAAGAGAACTGTTACATTGTGGGGAGTTGCAGTCAGTGTCATGAAACAAAATGTGTGTAAACTGCTGTATAGAAAACAAATTTGCTCTGTAAACTTTCACCCAAATCACAATAAAAATGAAAAGAAAAAAAAAAAAAAAAACCTGACACCAGTCAAATCTTAGCATCCTAAAAGTGAAAAATTAAGTTGTAGTTATATTGGTTAGGATTTTTTAGGAGGCTAGCATAGTACCTAAGGCATTTGACTGCTAACAGAAAGCTGGCAGTTCAAACCCACCAGCCACTCCTCGGAAGGAAGGCTGGGCGACCTACTTCCGTAGTGATACCGGCTTGGAAACCCAAGGAGGAGGGGTCGCTGTGAGTCAGGTCTGACTCAATGGCAGTGAGTTTGGTTTTTCAGTTTTTAGTAAAATTGTGTTGGGAAAATAGACTGGGTCCTGGAACCCAGGGGTAGAAGTGCAACCAGGTTCAGGAGTCTGGAATTCCATCTTGAAGGGCTTAGTCTACCTCTTTTCCTGTTTCTCCATGGAGTCCACTTGGTTCTTTTTCTTTTTGCTGTGGGCCTGTTTTCTTGGAAAATGCAAAATAATCATCCACGCTCACCTCCCACCCCCAGTTTATGCTTTTGTATTCAAGAGATCAACAACAACAACAACAAAACCAAATCTGTTGCCATGGAGTCAGTTCCAACTCATGGTGCCCCCTGTATTAGAGGAGAACTGCTCCTTAGGGCTTTCTTGGCTGTAATACTGGATGAAACAGCTTGTCAGGCCATTTTTTCTTGAAGTACCTGGGTGTGTTTGAACCGCCAGCCTTAGATTAGCAGTCAATCAGAAACTGTGACTAGCCAGGCTGAAATTGGAATCTCAGTCATAACTTTTATAGTTCTGGGGAAGAAATTCCAACTGGTTTGGGTCAAATGTTAGCCTTTAGATCAGTCACTTGTGGGTAGATGGGGATAAAAGGTTCAGTATTGGTCAAGTGTCCCACTTTGGTCTAGCCATCTAGTCTGGTGGGGTTAGAGGTTAGGGGTATAGGCAAGGTCATAGTGAACAAAATGACTGCCTGGGCCTACCTCTGGTATCGTGGTTGGAGAGTAGAGGTTGTCTACAGAAAAGGACATGTGGTTACCCAATGCCCGGTAAGAGTCCACCTAGTCTGTTGAGATTATGAGAAAAAGCCCAAACCTCCTCAACCTGATTACTATGTTAAAATTATATTTGCTTGCCTTTATAATGCTATAGGTCGGCATTGGCATCAATTTTCAAGTTCAGTTTTGGACCTTGACTTAATATAGTTATATTTATCTCACTTATCTTTGATTTTGTGCTTCTTATCTTTGATTCTTTTGTCTTCTTTGTGCTCAACAATTTCTTTTCTTTTGATTTTTTTGGAAACATTGAGCCTTTGCCAGTGTTCAGAAGGATTAGAGAGTGAGTGGGCCCACTTGCTGTTGCTTTTTGTTTTCCTAGTGCTCTTTTTTTTTTTTTTTAATATATTTTATTTTGAAATAATTATAGATTCACAGGAGGTTGCAAAGAAATGTACAGAGAAGTCCCATGAATCCCCTCTCTCTGATCTCCCTCATGTTAGCATTCCATACAACCACAGTATAACAACAAAACCAAGAATTGGCATTAGCACAATCCAGAGTGTATTCAGATTTCATCAGTAGTTATACATGTACTTGTGTGTGTGTGTGTGTGTGTTTGCGTTTGTGTATTGCTCTATACAGTTTTGTCACATGGGTATCCTTGCATTACCCTCACTATAATTAAGATACTCAGCTGTACCATCATCACAAGACTCCCATGTTACCCTTTTATAACCACACGTATCTCCTGCCTGCCATCCCTAAGCTCTGGCAACCATTAATCTGTTCTATATCTCTGTAATTATTACATGATTGTTACATGAACGGTACAGTATATATTTTAGTAAGCCATGGTGATGCAGTGGTTAAAATTCTCAGCGGCCAACTTAAAGGTCAGCAGTTCAGACCCACCCAGCAACTGTTGCAGTTTGCTTCTGTAAAGATCACAGCTATGGAAAGTCTCTAGGCAGTTCTACTCTGTTCTATAAGGGTTGCTGTGAGTCGGAAATAATACGATGGCAACGCGTTGTCTTACCGAGAGTGGCTTTTTCACTCAGTGTAATTTCCTGAGATTCATCCAAGTTGTTGCATGGGTCAACAGTTCATTTCTTTTTATTGCCAAGTACCAGAGTAATGCTCTTCTTATTAATGGTAGTGATTATATAGAATTAGGAACCCTGATGGTGAAGTGGTTATTTGGCTACTAACCAAAAGGTCAGCGGTTTGAACCTACCAGCCTCTCCGCGTGGAAAAAGATGTGGCAGTATGCTTCCATAAAGATTTATAGCCTTGGATACCATATGAGGCAGTTCTACTCTGACCTTTCAAATTTCTATGACTCAGAGTCGACGCAATAGCAATGGGTATGTATAGTTGAGTAGTAATTTAAAGTTTCTGAAATATTTTCACAAATATCATTTTACCCTAAATGAGGCTGCCTGAAGTCATTTGTTTTCCTCATTTTATAGGTGGGAAAATAAAGTTAGGGAGATAGTAATGATTTTCTCATGGTTGTAGAACTGTCAAATAGGTTATCAAGTTATGATTTGAATCCAGAACTCCCAGTCAGGTGTTCTTCAGTTGGTTCTGTTGTGATGTCACCCATTTCGTTTCTTGTTGGTGTTATTTGTATTCTCTCCCTCTTTTCCTTTGTTAAATTTGCCCGTGGTTTGTCGATTTTATTGATCTTTTCAAAACACCAACTTCTAGTCTTGTTGATTTTTTCTGTTCTTTCTATTTTCAGTTTCATTGATTTCTGCTTGAATCTTGAGTATTTCCTTTCTTCTGGTGACTGTAGGCTTTTCTTGGTGTTCTTTTTCTAAATGTTAGAGATGTTGGCTTAAAGTGTTGCTTTTGGCTCCTCTTTTTTAATGCATTTTATTGAAATATAATTTAAGTATGCAAAACTATAAATACATAAAAATATTTTTAAAAATATACAAAACTAAAGTCACATGGGTCAGTGCATTTTTTTGGGGGGGGCAGTGTTCCCTCCCCTCCCTTCCTACCCCTGGCAACCAACAAAGAAAGTTTCCTTCCATATATAAACCTTTCCTTGACCCTCCACAGCAATGAACTAATACTATATTTGTCCTACTGTGATTGACTTATTTCAATCAGCATAATGTCCTCCAAGTTCATCCATATTATGTGGTG